GCTGCCTCGAGTACTCCTGTTTCGTCCAGCACCCCGGTCATCCCTGGAACATCTGCTTCAAGCAGCCCTGTTTCCTCAAGCACCCCAGCTGCCTCGAGCACTCCTGCTTCGTCCAGCACCCCGGTCATTCCCGGCGGCTCTTCCTCTTCTAGCCAGCCTGTCGCTTCGTCGACTCCTCTAAGTACCTTGACATTGACAGTTACGCCTACGCCCGTGCACAGCTCATCCTCCGCCTCCGGCACTCCCTCTACGAGCAAGCCTGTCAACTCCAACACTTCGTCGACCTCTGGACAGTCCAGCGCCCCTGTTCCTTCCAGTGCTCCTTCCAGTGCTCCTTCCACCGGCTCTACGAGTGTCCCTGGCACCAGCTCGGGTGCGGTCGGCCAGTCAGGCTCCAGCTCCACCGGTGTGTCCAGCTCTACCAAGAGTGACGTCGGCACTTCCCCATCGCAAACAGCCGGCAACGGCAGCGGCAGCGGCAATGGTAGCGGATCGACAACCAATACCGCTGCGACGAACTCCATCACCGCTGTGCCTACCGCCAGCTCTTCAGTCGCCGCTACTGGCGCCAGCTCAGAGCCTGTGACCATCACCACTGTTATTGTGACTTCCTATATCGATATCTGCCCTACCGGCTTCACCACTGTGACCACTACGTACACAACCACATACTGCCCGGGTACTAACACTGCAACCGCCACGGCCACCGTTACAAACCCTCCATCTGGACCCGGTGGACCCGGATCGCAAACCCCAGCTCCCACTGTTCCCGAAGGCTGGACCACCACTGTGACCGTCTGCACTCAGTGCGCTGCTAAGCCAACCACCGTGACGTTGACGCTGCCTGTGACTACCACCAAGACTGAAACTAAGTCGACTTCGACCGGTGTCGTGCCCGCACCCCCTGCCGCTACTGGCGAGGGATCGAACCCCACCCACCCATCAGGTGCTTCCCCCACCGGTGGTGCCAGCGGCTCTTCTGAAGGAAGGGTTCCTCCCCCAGCAGTGACTCTGGTCAGCACGAGCACCGACATCGTGACGGTGATTCGTCCCACTTCGAGCCGCCCCGTGATCCTCGGTACTGGCACTGTCCGCCCTTCGTCGACGCTCGCCGTTAAGCCATCGTCCAAGCCATCGGGTCAAACTTCCAGCAGTGGCACTCACGTGCCCGTTCCTCCTAGCAGCACTCAGGAAGGTGTGTCGCCCTTGTCCACCGGTGCTGCCTCGCGCGTGGCTGGATTGGGCCATGGCTTGGTCCTCACGGTTCTCGCCCTGTCCGCGTTCCTCGTCTTGTAAAGCGTCAAGCCTTGTGAGATGTCATGTGGGCAGATAATGTATAATGAAGGACTGCTGTTCTAGCTGACACTGTTTTTTCTTTTTTTTACTTCGATGTGTTTACATTACAATTCGACCCCAGTCCAGCCTGCGCTGGACATTAATTGAAGCAGTCCTATACCACTTTCACCCTCGACGCAAAGCGTCCCAATTTCTTTGTTCCTCTTGATCGATGCATGAAGCGTTGGCATATTGTATAGAGCATGAGACTTGTATTTTGATGTCACAACAAACTTTTCTAATAGCATAAGACATTTTCTATCTCCAGTATTTGCACCATCCATAGACATAATTGAGCTTAGGGCGCTAGGCAGCGTCGTGAAACAAAGATGCCTAAACTTAGTCGTATTGAGCCGAGCGGGGGAATAAATTACCAGTTACATAGAGAACAAGCTTTCAGGGCCAAGACGGGTCGATCCGACAGACCCAACCCGTCATCTGGCGTATTACGGATGAGTTGTTTGGATTTCAATCAGTCTATACTTCTCCTTAATGGTGTTTGTTTCTGTTGGATTTAGAGAGATTGATGGATATTATTCCACTAAAGAAACAAGAGTGTAACGGCGCGAGCTCTCATCGTAAGGAACTCCGTACTGACTTCGTATACTCCGTAAAGTACGAGGACAAACATCGCTCCTGAGTTGCGCCACAAACACGCTAAATCAGCTCAGGGGCTGATGTGGCTGAAATGCTGAAGTGGACCTATCACAGACTGCGTAGTACAACAGAGGCCCAGTAATGAGGGGCATGTCGTGGCTGTGTGGCTGTTTGAGCGCGATTTACGGAGTACGGAGTACCTCTCTAGATATCACTCACTTCGCTGCAATGGGTCCGCATCCTGGAGGGAACTAAGATATTAGTCCCTTATTTTAGTAACCCCCCAGGCGGTCAGACTAAACAAATGTATAAATATGCAAGCCCCTCCTTAGCTGGCATGATGGAGTCCAGTCTCCTTTTCTCTCAGCTCTTCTTCTCTTCGCACTATTGACCACGTATATCATACCCGTTTCTTTTAATATCTCAAGTCACTATGGACGGCTTCCTCGGTAAAATCATCGAAAAAGTCGCCGAGAAAGCCGGTGGTGGCAGCAGCAGCAGCGGCGGCGGCGGCGGCGGCGGCGGCTACGGCTACAATCAACAGCCCAGCTACGGTGGACAAGGTCAGGGTTACAATCATCAGCCCAGTTACGGTGGACAAGGCCAGAGTTACAACTCCGGTCCTGCCCCTCCCCAGGGCCTCCCTTACCCGTGGGTCGCCCGCTGGGATGATCGCGACCAGCGCTGGTTCTACGTGAACGAGCAGACCGGCGAGAGGTCCTGGGAGCGGCCGTACGGCGGCAGTGGCAGTGGTGGTGCTCCGTCTTACGGAGAGCGATCGTACGGTCAGCCTCAGCCTTCGCATGGGTATGGAGGCGGCTATGCGCAGCCGCAGGGACAGCGAGCGGAACGCAAGGATCATACGATGATGTACGCTGGGGCGGCGGGGGCGGCCGGTTTGGTGGGCGGTGCGTTACTGATGCATGAGGGCGAGAAAATCCGTGAGTTGTCCTTTGATTGGAGCCGAAAAAGGCGCGTTGTTAACCTGTACAGATGAGCGCTGGGATGAGGATAAGGAGAGAATCGAGGAGAACGTGGAGGATTTCCCTGAGAATGCGGCACGGTGGACTGGCGAAAAGGTTTGTGCTCTTCTGTCGTGCTTGCAGTATGACCTGCTGTCACTCCGTACAGACGCTGACAACCATGGATATCAGGTCGGTGAAGTCGAGCGGATCCCAGAGAATATTGAACAGAGCTGGGATCGCACCGAGGACCGCATCGAGAATAAGTGGGACAATGCAGTCGACGACGTCGAGGACTTTCCCGAGAATGCGGCGGGATGGGTTGGACGAAAAGTCGGCGAGGTGGAACAATTTGGCGACAATTTAGACTATGCCTATGATGAGGGACGGGCTGAGGGTCGGGATGATTGGTAGACTCCTTCATCAAGGGGACTGTCTGGGCTTTTGGTCATACTGCGTTTTTACAAGGTGATTTACGCATGATCCGCATAGTAGTATTGCACTCATGATGGATCTGTCAATCGATAGCAATGTTTGTATAGCAATCATTGTATTCAAGCTGCATATCCATAGATGCTCTGGTGAAGCTTCACCTGCGGCACTGTTGGTTTCCCCGCACGTGGCCCGGGCCTCGGCTGCGGAGAAACGGTTGTTCTCAGCGTTTGCTATTAAACCAGTCATGCACATCGCGCTGCAGGCCAGCGGTGTGGCCTCAACTGATATTTAATATTGAGATTTGTCGGAATTTTGGGACATTCAGTGACAGACCACCCGCAGTAGGAGATTGACCTGGACTGCCATGTCCAAGCCATCCCTTCCACTCGCAGGAGTTCGAGTCGTCGAGCTGGCAGGCCTGGCTCCAGGTTCGTATCACGCCTGCACTTGGATAAATTATCTGTGTCTAATCCATATAGGCCCGTTCGCTGGACTTCTACTCGCAGACTATGGCGCCTCAGTGCTGCGCATTGATCGGCCGAATTCCATCTCCGCAGACCAGTTGACTCGCCGGAAAACGTCCATCACGTTGGACTTGCGGGACAAAGCTTCGCACCGCCTCCTCCTCTCCGTACTCTCAAAGGCCGATGTGCTGATTGATCCCTACCGGCCGGGCGTGCTGGAACGTCTGGGCCTCTCGCCGTCCGACGTACTCCTAAAACACAACCCGCGCCTGATTGTGGCTCGCATGACGGGCTTCCGTCGCGACGGCAAATACAAAGACATGGCGGGCCATGACATCAATTACATCGCGGTGTCTGGTGTGCTGTCCATGCTTGGCCGGAAGGGAGAAGCCCCCTATGCACCGGGCAACATCCTGGGCGATTTCGCCGGCGGAGGCGCCATGTGCTTCCTGGGGATTCTGCTGGCCCTATTGGCGCGCGCACACACGGGACGAGGCCAGGTGGTCGAAGCCAACATGGTAGACGGGTCCGCGTACTTGGCGACAATGCCACGGCTGACTCGGCAGACGCCGATGTGGAACCTACCCCGCGGCGAGAATATGCTGGACGGCGGCAGTCCCTTCTACGGCACCTACGAGTGCAAGGACAGGGGCAAGTATTTTGCGGTTGGAGCGTTGGAGCCGCAGTTCTACGCGGCGCTGATCAAGGGGCTGGGGTTTGAAACAGGGGAGCTTCCCGCACGGGACGACAGGGCGAATTGGCCCGCCTTGCGAGCCGCGTTTGAGCAGCGATTCAAGGAGAAGACGCGGGCCGAGTGGGAGGCCATTTTTGACGGCACGGATGCTTGCGCGACGCCCGTGCTGGAGCAGGCGGAATTGGAACACAGTGGCTATGAGCAGAGACCTGCGGTGCACCTCGTTGACACGCCCGGTCTTCCGATCCCAGCTGATGACGGCGGATGGACAGGAGGCGGGCTGTTACCCGGTACCGGCGGGCAGGAGACTCTCAAGGCATGGATGGGATGGGAGAAGGGACGGGACTTTGATATCCGAGGGGATGGAGCATTGGTGTGGATTGAGGGAGGCAAGTCCAAACTGTAGGTAGCGTAGCTGGTGTCTCAGAATGGGCCTTCCAGAGGGCTGAGGTCATTGGTGGACGCGATCAAGATGGTACCCATGACCCTCAAGGGAGAGAAGCTTTGACCATTCAGCATGTGCGGGAATCGCAAGATGTGAGACAAGTTTAGGGCTGAGAAACGAGATCTGAAGATTCAATTGGGTTTCCCTTGTTTGGTTCTGTGGTATTAGGAGATTCTCAGCCACAGCCACAGTCAGCAACCGACAGTCGGTCAGTCAATCGGTCGGTCGGTCAGCATCAGCAGAGCAGCAATGGTCCTTTTCAACTCGTACAATTAATTCAATTTCATCCTACAGATGGGCGATGGAGATTCAAAAATAATGATAATGCTGCGAAGATGTCTGATTCAGGCATGTGTGCACAAGTTGATTATGCAGACTGCAGCGCGTATCTCCGGTACGTACCTTTTAGCCTGCTTACGGTATGAAATAGCTGGTACCTTACCAGGCCTACCCCATTGCCGTGGAACCTATCCATGGCGAGCTGAAAAGGATCGAAACCGGCGGAGATTGCCCCATTCGAACAGCTCTTGGAAATGTTACAACGGCTGAATGTAACCTGCAGGAGTTCCGGTGGGATGATTCGATGACTGAGCGTTATCAGTGTAGACTAGAGAGATACCTACCTAATAATCGCGTCATTTGACACTTTCACCACACTTGGGTTGAGGTGACATTGCAGCGGAGAAACCTATGCGAGTGCTTGATGATCTGTTGCCATTACTGTAAGTGATAGTCAGGGCAGAGTAAGGTATATGGACCTACCTTACTGTGCCTGACTAAAGCCATAAGACACTCTCTCACTTCTCTCTGTCGCAATATTTGGATTTTGCACCTCAGGATCTAAGTCTACACCAAGGATCTTTCCTCCGTGCTTCCGGTCATTTCTCCAGATGGTGGAGTATTCTACGTCATGATGCCCTTTAGTCCAGACTAAATTAACGGACATTGGATGAAGAAATTGACGCGACTTGTTACTCAGGTACGACTGAGGGTAAAACTGACAAGGCATTCGTACCTTGCCAACCTTGGATTGAATCTGTGGTACAACTAGAAGTGGGTATGTATTAACCAGTATTGTACCTACCATATCACGACCCCACGTGTCTGAAACTGTGGCGCAGCACCGACTATACGGGTAGACACAAAGACATGGAGAAGCTAAAGGAGATAGCCCAGTCTGCTCACCTTGTAAAAGTAAAACCACAAGCCGCCAATACTCCGCAGTCCGTACCGTATTGACTCATGGGAAGTGGTTAACTAAGGTAACTAGTTAACTATCTTATAACCGCTGACAAAAGTAGACTAGGACTGACTAGTTATTTCGTGGTGCGTGCCTTATCCACGCATCATGACTGGACTAGACACCCACGAGGATGACTGCATTGACTCTTGAATCTTGAATCTTGATGCTTCGGTGCCAACTTAGCTGCTCGACGGGAAAACAGCTACAAGCAAATTGATAAGAGGCACGGACCTTTGTTTGTTTAATGTTTTGTTGAGTACTACCTTGTCATCATTACCCTAACATGAAAGGCTTTACCTCGGTGGTTGTGTGGTTCCAGTGGTGGAAGACAAAGGGAATGTGCTCAAGTCATGACTTCATTGTGATGTCTCTTTCTTGTTCTTTGGTAACCAGTCTAAATTACTATGTTTTAATTGTCGGTATTGTTAGAGAGGTATTCAGTATTATTCTTCAGGTGGTCCTGCAGGGTAGGTACCTACGTAACCATTAACAGTAGTTATTCGTTATTCTGTGGACGAAACATGTGGCTGTGCTGATGTTTACCAATTACCATATCTTCCCTAAGGTACCCACCTTGACCTAAGGTAAATGTGTCCCTGTATCTGGTAACAATACCGGTAAGGTACCAGTCCGTACCAACCAAACTTGGTCTTGAAAAACAAAACTTACATTTTTTCTGTGTTGTTCGCCTTCTTTCGCTCATCGGATCGGCCGACCGATTAATAMTCCATACCAAGGTTTGTTTAAACAGCCATAGCTCTCCTCTTGTCGAGGTTGGCTGATTTCTATTACCCTTCTTCTTCTTCTTCCTATTCTCCTCTACTCCTCAGCTGTCATCTATTGCCAGCGTGTCTATCCGGAGTGGCTTGCTGAATCTGCAGTCAGATAACCGCCCAAGAGCGCCAAGGCCTCCCCTCGTGCTCGTTCCCAAAGCGGCCTGATCGATCATTCTCCTGTCGCCGCTGCTCCTCACGGCATCAAGTGCTGCTCCCTGTAACCTCGACTGAGAACAGAAAGTCGGCCGCTTCGAGCATTGGAATCTCTGCGTTTGGTTTCTTTTTGAAACTCAATAATCCGCACGATTCCCTTGTTGAACCAATAAATTTTTTCCCCTTTCCTCTTTTCTTCGCTGCAGCCGCCAGATACCGCTGCATGTACCACACAACGGAATCGCTGGCCAATTCGCTGATCCATCCATCATCTTGCGACAAGACAAATTCGGGTTCCCTTACTTCCAACTCGCCTCTTCCTTCCATTCGCAATCAAGGCGACTTTTTGCAGTCGCTTTCTACTCGCCAAGGCAGCTAGTGCCTGCGCTCTTGTCGCCTCTACTTAACTAGTCACCTTGGAAACATCCTTTCTCCAGCAACTCTCAGCAGCTTTTCGGTCCTGCATGGCTGGCGTGCAAGCTCCACCCACCATGACCGACTATCGACTTCCAATTCACCAGGCACCTCCTCGGAAGCCCGTCCCTGGCATGCATCGCGGATACCCTTTTCAATCCTACGAGCCTCACCAGCAACAACAGCCGCACCACTATCGTCCGCAGCAGCAGCAACAGTACCACCACCAACAACAGGAACAAGTGTCCCCCCATCCCTCCGTCTCCTCGGCCAGCCGCAATCGAACTTCTTCGTCCCATGCCTCGCCATACGGGGCGCATCAGCAACAATATGCCGGTGCCCCTTCGCCGCATTACACCATGACCAGCCACGTTAGTCACCCGTCGAGGCGCCTGTCTAGTGCCACCACCTCCACCAGCTCGACCGGAAACAACTTTAGCTCTGATATCCGCCGGAGTACATCATCCCGTTCGACCAACGCTCAAGTCGGCTACGTGGCGCTCATGCGCAGGCAGAAGGCAACTGTCTGGTGTGATCGAGCTCAGCCTGAAGATCCCCGACTTCGGGCCCAAAAGCTGGCGGATAAGAAGAGGGCCTACCTGGAAGTCCATGGCGCTGGCGCCGGACGCACCGGTACCCTGGGAAGCGGCAAGAACAAGCATGGAAACAAGGGAGCGACAGAATTCTCGGCGTCAACCCTCGTTGGAGCGACTGTTCCGGTCCGACTCAGTGCAAACGAGGTAGGCGACGCAGATGAGGATGGACACAGTGACAGTGGATTTCCTCATCG